TCATGTTCCGGCTTGGTGGGAGCCTAGCCAGTTTGGATGTTCACCTTCCTAGACATGGACGGAGGGGGGAGGACCTTGGAATTTCCACAGGGCAGGGAACCATGACTACTCTTTGGATTGGATTGGAGAGGGAGGGGGAGAAGAGTGGGGGGGAGGGGGAGAAGACTGTGGGGGAGGGGGAGGGAAATGGGAGGCTGGGAGGAGGCTGAAACTTTTTTTTTCTTATTCTCAATAAAAAAAAAAACTGATAATGGTCCTGCTTATACTGGACAAAAATTCACCTCATTTTGTCAACGTATGGGTGTTCAATTGACACATCACTGCCATACAATCCGCAAGGACAAGGTATTGTGAAACATGCCCATCGATCTCTAAAGGAGATACTTCAAAAACAAAAAGGGGGAATAGGCCATAAGCAAACCCCTAATAATAGACTTTCTTTAGCCTTATTTACTTTAAATTTTTTGAACTTTAGCCTTATTTACTTTAAATTTTTTGAACTTTAGCCTTATTTACTTTAAATTTTTTGAACTTTAGCCTTATTTACTTTAAATTTTTTGAACTTGGATAATTCCAATCAGTCTGCTGCAGATAGGCATTCATGTCCATCCAGTCCTTCAAAAGGAATGGTGACCTGGAAGGATGCTTTAACAGGGGTCTGGCATGGACCCGATCCCGTGCTGGCATGGGCACGAGGCGCTGTTTGTGTTTTTCCACAGGATAATTTGGACCCTATTTGGGTACCAGAACGCCTGGTGAGGAAGGTGCAAGTGCAGACGGAGGCAGAAAAGGATGTTAAGGATATGTCTGGGGATCCTGTGCCTGTTCCTCACCCACTCGATGGAGAAAGTGATGGCGGAGCTGCAGTGGAGGATTCTGTCAGCCTTTTTCAAGCTGATGCCAGTTCGCCATGACCTGGACCATCATAGCCATGAATCATCTGAAGGAGTGGGTGGGAATAGGAGCCCTAACAGGCTTAATGGTGCTTGCCTCCCTGGTATGCTTATGGTCCTTTTGCCACATAAGGGTTTCACAGCATCCCAATGCAGTTATGATCATTCAGGCCTTCACAGCTATTGAAGCAGGACAGTCCCCTCAAGCTTGGTTATCTATATTTGAGCACAGGATGCGAAGCTTGTGCACTGTACTTGAGGTAAGCATACATCAGCCTCAAGAAGAGCAAGTCTGATTGCATGTGGGTTAGTGTCTAGCTCCCACCTCTGTAAAAAAAAAAAAAAAGGCACCGGACAGGTCTAGTGTTCTCTGAGTGGATGACACCTGGACAAACACTAGTACATGTTTCATTTTTAACAGAGATCAGACCTCTACTCTTGCCTGTGGCTTTACAAAACAAAAGGGGGACTGTAGCGAGCTGCATGGAATCACACCTGATGGAGATGTATAATCAACTCCTGAGATGGCTAAAGTCTGACTTATGCCTGATCACACAATGATCATCAGCTGCTTGCATATGCTTGGGCCTATGGGCAGTGCCCACCTGGCAATCCGGGATTGGCAGCCCATGCCTACTTAAGGGCTGGGAGAGGTTTGCCCGGGGAGAGAGAGAAAGACAAGGAGAAGGAGATAGATTGCTGTGAATAAAGTCCTGAAAACTGCTGCAAGAAGAGCTCCGGGTGTTGCATTTTTCCTTGCTGGTCGAGGGTGGATGTGACACTGGGTAAGAATGTGAGCCTTCATCTAAAAGATTTGCTGAAAATATTAACTACTCAAAGGTGTGTTCAGCTTAAATGATGGACCACAACGCTTCCATTAACTTTACTATTGTCCTAGGGCAAAAGTGTTAATAATTCTAAAAAAAAACCCCAAATAATTGGTATATCAGAGGTTAATACATGGCTTAGCAGTTAAACGTACTTTTTGATCATGCAGTTTGGTTTCCACATCAACTAACTTATAACCTCCTGAAACTTAGCTTTTTGGGATCTGATGCCCTCTTCTGACTGCCATGGAAACTCATTCATGCTTAAACTCCTCCCCAATTTCAAATAAATCCTTAAAGAAATTAATAGTAGATCACACTGGCAAGATTGCTCAGCTGGTAAGAGGAAAGGTGATTGATTATAGCAGAGATTGGTGAGCCTGAGTTTGATTCCGCGAAGCAACTTTTGCACATTATTCTCTGGCTTCTCTCTCTCTCTCTCTCTCTCTCTCTCTCTCTCTCTCTCTCTCTCTCCTTCTCTTTCTCCTTCCCTCTCTCTTTCTCCCCCCCCACAGACAGACACACAAACTCACACACTAAATGACTTTGGTTAACTTTTTTCCAGTTTAAGTAATTTGTATTTATTATCTTTTAGGAACACATAAAAAAGAAACAGTAAATCTTAAGTGATAGGAAAACCTATAAAAGGATACTGAGGGTGGGATGGAATAGGCAGAGATGTGGTCTTGGAGAAAGGGGAGAAGATGGAAAAATCATTAAAAGACAAATATGTGTTAACAAAAATTTAAATGAATAATTGTTAACATTATTAATTAAGAAACAACCATGAAGGTCTGTATTTTGCTTAGAAATTATTGAATTATAAAGTATACAGGATGGGATAAACACTCAAATCAGTTTATAAAAGTTTGTTTCATTGGTTAAGATCTTTCCCCAAACAAGTCTAGAGCTGTGTAATTGAGATGTCAGAGAGTAAGAGACAGCTGAGAGACTGAGACTCAGTGAGCAGCAACCCTAGGAGTTTTTTGTTCTGCCCTGGAGCACTGTGGGAGGTTCCTCCTTACCCTGCTGACAGTAATAGGTTGCAGCATCATCAGCCTCCACAGGATTGATGGTGAGGGTGAAGTCTGTCTCAGACCCACTGCCACCGAACCTGGCTGGGACCCCAGATTCTAGGTTGGATACACCATAAATAAGGAGTTTTGGGGCCTGTCCTGGTTTCTGTTGATACCAGTGCATATAATTACTACCATATGTAGTGACCCTCTCACTGGACTTGCAGGAGATGGTGGCCTTTCGTCCCAGAGACTCAGACAGCAAACCTGGAGACTGGGTCAGCACAATCTCTCCAGAGGAACCTGGAATAATCACAAACACACAAATCATGGTTATATATGTTTAGAAACCTTCCCAGAAGGGAATTTTTCATTAAAAATTTTAAGAATACTTGTGGGCATCACTTTGAGAAACCAGAAAGTCAAAAGGAATGGGGGAATTTAAAACCAATTACAAATGCCTTTAATCTGATGATCAAGATTCCAGAGTCATGGAAAACCATGATGGCTACAGTGGGTGCACCCAACATTGCTCTGCACCCTCTCACCTTGTACCAGGAACAGCAGCATCCATAGCAGGAGTGCCCTTGACTCCATCTCTGAGTGTTTGAAAAGAGAATGCTTCTTAGGGTCCTAGCAGCTGCTATTAAAGGAGCCTGGGCTGTTGTATGATGTCTCAATATGTAAATCAGCCCAGAAAAGTGTGCTGGTGTTCGAAGGGACACCTGCTCCTGTTTTACCCACTGGGAGTTGGTGTCAGAAGAAAATTCACTAGAACCTGGCAAATGTGTCTTAAAGGAGCCTGGCATGCTATTTCATTGAATCTTTACCCTTTAATCTTTCTAAAGTGTGATGCAGGGGAGTGCATTATGGATGTGCTGTTTAAAGAATTTATGTTATTTCAGGAACAACTTTATCATTCCAAATTCTACAAAGCAAATGAAAATATTATCTAAGAGGGAATGGAGAATAAAGACTCAAAAATAAGTAACATAATTAATTCTTGACTTTTTTTAGAATCTATGTTTCAGAGTGTGGGATGCCATATGTGTATTTTTGCCTGCTCTTCTTTTTGGACAACCTCCTTCTCTTGACTTATGTGTGAAGATAAGAGGCCAACCTTGCATATGGGTGCTGCCGTCTGCCTTGTCTGAGACAGGGTTTCTTGTTCACCACTGCTCCATGAGGAGCCTGGCCCAGGACCATCTGGATTCTCTCCAGTCTCCATCTCTCATATTGCGACAGCATCATTCTGAGTGCAGTCATGTGGTGCAACTGCATCTGGCTTTATGTGGGTTCCTGGGATGTGAACCAGGGCCTCACTCACACTTAAGTGGCAAGCATGCATCCAACTCCACCCCATCCCATTATTTTAAATTGAAACACTGAAGGAAATTCTTCAGGCTGAATGTAAATAAAACTACAGAAAATATGGAAACTTAGGTGATATTGTTTCATTTTTCTCTTTCCTCTTTGCTCTTTGTGAACCCAACAGCCAGCTCCCAAAAAAATTCACAGAGACTTATTCTTGCTTATAAGTACTTGGCTTTAGCTTGGCTTTTTTTAGCCAGCTTTTCTTTTCCAGTTTTTAAAATAATAACAGTATTTTTAATTTTCCCAACGTGTCATATTAGTCCTTACATATCTTGAAAGTTGGGAGAGCCTTCACTTTCTGTGGCTTATCTCTTGTGGAAGCTCTTTGACAGTCTATTCAGCTAAACCTAAAGGTCCATATTTGTTTATATCAGGTGACACATGAGCAGGTTGTTTTGGCAATTGTCTTGTAGTTAGGGTTGCTGCTTTAATGAGTCAAGATTTATCTGCTATATAAGATTCTCATGTTTATTTGTTTTACTTCTATAGGTAAACTATATGTAATGTAAAGACAAAACTGGGCTGTTTTGAAATTTTTTTTATCTGTTAGTTATCATTTGATTATACTATTGTTCCTCAGCTTTACTGTTTCTCATCAAACTTGAAATCAGGAACAAGAAATTCACAATTTACGGGTCATTGCCATGTGAAATGGAATACTCTGCAATAATTTGCTTTAAGAAACACAGGTGTGCCAATTGTGGCACTTGGTGACCATGTCTTTGACTTTGAAGTTTGAATCCCTTTCCTGGAAAGTCTGGTGATAGGTTAGTTGGGCCAGAAATTTCTTTTAGTCTGGGTAATATGTCTCTTGCATAGTTCTCATTCAGGCTGTGGTGAACTCTGTCTTTAGCCAGCTCTTCTTATTTTAAATTATCCCATCTATCTTTTGCCTCTTGGCATTCATATATCATCTTTACTTCTTATTGGATATATATACACACACATATATACATATATACATATATATATATATATATATAAATGTATGTATCTTCTTTACTTCTTACTCTGGTTTGCTGTGTATTTGGTTGATTGGCCACTGGTGTCTTCTCTCTTCTCTTTCTCTCCTATTATTCTCTCTCTGGCAACCCTGCCTATCTGTCTCCTATCTACTATTGAGTGTTCTGATCTTTATTAGACCAATCACATTTTACACAGGCATAGTAACACAGTTTCACAGAATAATACAAATGCAACATAAAAATGATATAATACATCTTTGCATCATTAAACAAATGTTTCATAGCATAAACAAATGTATACATCTTCAACAAATTTTCTACTACATATTTCTCATTTACGTTCATAAACATCCCTATATTATATGGTGTATAATATCCATGCTAAGGGCCATATATTTTTAAGTAAATCCCTAGTCACATAGTCCTTATTCTAATGATGGTTTGGTGGTGGTAAGACACAAAAATGAATATTTCTGATGTCATTCTTCTACTGCTTCCATGAGATTCTCCCACTGCCCTTTGTGCTCTTGACTTTCCTCATTTTGTGGCATCAAGAACTGCACTTCTTCCAGGCATGTTGATGTATTTCTGTAATTCACACAGGTAAAGAAGCTGAAGCAAGAAGATCTTGAGTTTGCAGTCAGCTCAGGATACATATACTGGGTTACAGAGATGACCAAATCTTCTGCCTCTCCTCAAGTCCCACATGATCCATTTTTGCATATAGTTTTATTAATATTTATTTTTCTTTATTCTGACTTCATCCTTGTTTTTATTGACTTATAACTCAAGTTTCAATTCCTTAACATTGTTTCTTTTATTCACTGCAGCAAAACTACTGCTATAATATGCTATAATATGTTCTTTCATCACATCAGGAAAGGACACTCAGTTCCCTCTGACAGAGAGAATGACAAGATCATAGAACAGAAGATGTAAGGGGTAGGTATTGTTCCTGAGTAGAATACAACACAGATCTGAGTACAGGAATAATGACCTTAAAGTCAGTACTTGATACTAGTCATGAGACAAGAGATTTGGCCACAAACACCGAAGAGATGATCCCTTTAAAATTCACAGTGGCCTGAATGCACTGGGTATGAGGAAAGGGTGGGCTGGGCTTTATAAAGGAAGACAAAGAAAACAATGCCTGAAAGCAAACACAGGCTTGATGCTGACATGCTGGAATTTGACCAAGAAGGATGAGATTTATGGTGCAAAGAGAGATCATGGGACAATGGTCACAATTAGTTAATGTGAATACTATTTAGTGAATGCCATGCTTGACACACAATGAACAAATTTGTGCGGAGGTTGTTGTCATTTCTGTCCCAGCTGAACCATTAGCTCTTTTATTTTGTCATTTTCCCAATTTACAAATGATACTAAGAATTGTAATCTCTATACTGCATGATAAACAGCAGATCCCAACCGACTAAGACAAGTGAAGAGGCAGTGGGGAGGCAGGGAAGGCAGAGGAGAGTAGTAGTTTAATTTTGTTTTTTAATTAATATTCTTTTTTTGTATTTTTATTTTTATTATTTCTCATTAAGTTTTCCTTTGGTGACAAGGGTAAAAGACAGGTTTGGAGGGACTGCGGATGAGTGGGGTTGGGGAATGTGATGTGAAACTCCCAAAGAATCTTTATAAAAAAAGAATTGTACCCTCTGAACAATAACTAGCTCCATATGTCCAGCTGAGACTTAAGGAGCCTTTAGTAAATGACAGTTTTATGTAATGTGTAGTCAGACTTTCCTTTGGGCTTTCAGCTCACAAATAATGACATGGAGACTTATTATTAATTATGAAAGTTCAACCTTAGCTTAGTTTTTTCCTTAACTAACTCTTATAACTTAAATTAACTCGTTTTTATTAATTTACATTCTGCCATGTGGCTCAATTACCTCTTCTCTGTGCCATATGTCTGACATTTTAGTGTTTCACTTGCATCTTCCACATGCCTTGACTCATCCCAACTTCCTCTCTCTGAGAAGAAAATCCCGCCTTTTCTCTCTTGCCTCTCCATTTTCCATTCAGCCCCTTATTAAACCAATCACAGTGATACAACCTCACATATTATAAACAAATATTGTACAAAAATAATGCTATTTCATAAAAAGCATTATAAGTTTTTTGACCCAATTTAATTGCTGACCCAGACAGTAGTTCAGTTCCCTTTATTTTGCAACTGTAATGTCAGAAGCTGACTTTAAGACAGATTTATCTGTCTCCCTACCCGTTAGTCCCCTACTCTATTCCTACTCTCTTGGTTCTATGAATTGAACCACATTATCATTGTGCCTATCATAGACTTCAGAGCTAATATCCATATAAAAGCGATATATTTCATATTCATCTTTCTGAGTATAGGATTTCTCACTCAGGATGATTTTTTTCTAATTTTATATATTTGCCTGTAAATTTCATGATGTCATTAAAAAAAGAAAACGTGCCACATTTTCTTTATCCCTTCTGTTGAGGGACATCTGGGTTGTTTCCAATTTCTGGCTATTATAAATAGAAAAGCAATGAACATGGCTGAACAAGTGTCTCTGTGGTAGGATTAAATATCCCTTGGATATATGCCCAAGAGTAATGTAGTTGGATCTTGAGATAGATCGATTTCTGTCTTTCTGAGGAAACATCACACTGTGTTCCATAGTGACTGAATGAGTTTTCACTCCCACCAGGAATTTGTGAGTGTTCCTGTAACTCCATATCATTGACTGCGTGAGTTGTTAGTTGTTTTGTTTGTATTAGCCATCAAATACCTCGCCTCAGAGCCAAGGAACCCTGCAGAAGAGGAGAACTAAAGAATATAAGAGCCAGAGGGAATGGTGGGCACCAAGAAACAAGATCCTGTAAATTCACATAAGAAAAACTCATAGGAACTTACAGAGAGTGAAGGAGCATGCATAGGGGTTGCACAGGTCGGTACTAGGTCCTTTAGCTATGTATTATGGTTTCCAATGTATTTTTTACGGGATCCCTGAATGTGCAAATGAGTAGGTCTTTGATTCTTTTGCCTTCTCTTGCACTATTTTCCTTCTATTGTTTCATGTTGACAAACTTCAATGCAATAGTTTTTGTTTTAACTTATTATATTTTCTTTTGTTATATTAAAAATGAATGAATAGAAACCAAGCCAGTTGCATAAATCTTACTAACTGAACTGTCATTTATGCCCTTTCTGAGAGGGAAAATAAGTTTTCTCCAATAGAGGTATACTGGTACATTCTTCTCTACTGCAGGACAGAT